CAATCGGGTTGGAAGCACGGGTTGTCGGGGGGAAGGGTTGAGACTCGGAAAGGGGTCCGGGTCCCGACTTGGGCAGAGCAGGCCCAGTTGCCCCGGTTTGGGCCCTGCTGGGCTACAGGCCTGTAGGCTTGGCTATGGGCCAGCCCACCCAAAAAAAAAAAAAAAAAAAATAGTGAATTGGGCTGAGTTGATTGAGTCTGAGTCAACTCGGTCTCGTGTTGATAGGATGAGTCAACCCGTCCAAGTTGACTCAGTGAGATTGGGGATATGCTATCCTCGAGGATAGTAGTAGTTGAGATACGGGCTGTCTGGGGATAGTAGGAATTAGATATTCTAGGATTTATTAATTAATTATTTGAATTAAGGTTTCTGAAGGGTGAACTGGCCAGGGTTGATTGAGGGTTTTACCGACTGATTCAGTGGTCAAATGGGCTTAGATTTGGGAAGTTGGACTGGTTCTGGATTTAGGAAGAAAAGATCTATCAAACCAAGTGGGTTTGGAAAATTTTGGATGGTCGGTTTAGTGTGTTTTCCTTCGGGTGACCGGTTCACCAGTTTTTAAACCGGTTCTCCGGGAGGTTGAACCGGTTCTCGGTTCAGCATGATGAGACCTAGTTAACTGTGTAGTTTGGTAATTTTTGGATGTCCGGTTCAAGGTGAACCGGGCCCGGTTCGTGTACTAGAGCTTAGAGTTAGGGTTTTTGGCCTAGTTCAGGGCTGGTTTAATACCTTTTTGGCCGGTTTAGACTGGTTTCTAAGATTTTTGGGCCTTCTGAATTCATTTTTGAGAGTTTCATGTCTGATCTAGTTGAGCTTGAGGTAGTTTTAGGCCGGGGTAGGTTGGTTTAAGGATTTTTGGTGGCCGGTTCGCTATAATTTGAGGGCTGTGGAGTTTGGTTCAATTTTGTGGAGGGTTTTGAGCTGGGTTGTTGTGTATAAGGAGTCATGTAGGTCTGGGTGACGGGTCTTGGTGCCTTGAGATGCGTGCCAATGTGCCGATTTGAGATTTGAGCCAAGTTTGAGGCTATTGAGCCTGTTTCTTGTATCGAGTTTGAGGTTGTGACGTTTCTATGTGGTTTTATTTTTAGATACGCTTGAGGAGGTGAACTCGGACCAGTGAGATGGGTGAAGATGACCAGAACTTCTTTTTTGGCTCGACCTTTGTACAGTGAGTGATGATACTTCTCCTATGCTTGTATTATGGTTTTCTAATATGATGATTATGTGATTTGGAAACTGTATTGTGATTATATGTTACTTGGGATGTGTCATGTGTTTTATAAACTGCCATTGAGTTATGTTGGTATGTGATGCTTGGTTTTGAGGCATAAACTATATATACGTATGTATACTTGTTTTGACTTACATGTGAGGGTGGTATCGCGTGATGTGAGGCGGTAGAGGCCGTGGATGTGATGTGCACTATTATGATTCCTCCGATCGTCGAGACGATGAATTCCTCCGATCGTGAGAAGACGAGACAAGAGTCTTATGATGTGATGTGTCTGAGATGGCAGGCTCAGCCTACGGATGGTGGGTCATAGTGTGCGAGGAGTGCCTTGGCCCGACGATGAGATGAGTTGTGTGACTAAGGACTCATTCGGTGGATAGTGTGCTACCATAGCCTGCGGGGAGTACCCTGACCCAGTGACGTGATTGTGATGATTAGTTACCTTGATACCTCATATATGTGTTTTGATTACTGCTCACTGTAAATATTTGTATATATAGGGTATTTAATTTGAGGTGTGATGCATACTCTAGTATGCATAGCCTAAATATCATCTGTACTCATTAAGTCTTGCGACTTATAGTTTATAACTTTTCAGATCTGACTTGCTGTTCCTGTCTCGGATGATGTGCTAGAGTCAGAACTAGGAGGTTGCAGCTTGATTAATGTACTGACATATTTTCTTTGTATATTTCTCTTTGTATTCTAGAGTAGCTCTTTTGAACTTTCAGACAGGTCTTGGTATTTGTGTATTGAGACAGCGCTTCATGTTTCATATTTATTTATGAGTTTTTGTCTGTTTGGGTATTTTGAGGCTTACTAGAGTTAGTGGACCTTAGTACCAGTCATAGGCCCGGTTTAAAGCGTGATACTAATTTTCCTATTTCATTAATCTTTTCTTTTCTTTTTTTTTTTTAATACTTTCATGACCTAAAACCTAGGTGAAGATGGATATTAGTAATTGGAGTCTTAATTTTTAGATAAATTTGGTTATTTACTTGAATTAAATCTTGATTTCTCATTTTAACAGCTTTATAATAGCAGCAAAATTTGTTGTTTTATCCTTTGTAACTATACCCATGATGTAACTCCCAAAACAGACAGGCACAGTTTTAGTCTCCATAATTTTATCTAAAATTCCATTTTAGCACAATTAAAAACTAAGGATATATGTTTGAAATTGAGTTTAGAGAAGGAGAGATTGTATTGTGAAGATCATTTGGGTAGAAGCAAATTTGAAGATTGGGAATTACAGTGACGAGGGGTTTAGAAACTGAGTTTTCAAAAATCAACTTTGGTGGTGGGTTTTAGAAACCTAAATTTTGAGTTTAAGAAACCCAAAATAGAGTAATAGTTAGTTCCTATGTGATTGCTAGATTTTAGAATTCGAATTTTATGAAACTCAGGGCCATTTTTTATTAGTTTTAGAAATATGTACCTATATCTTTTATATCAAAATTTTTAAAATATTATTCTTTTAAACTATACTTCAAAATCAAATATTTGAAAAAGTGAAGTATATATTTCTGAGATTAAATATAATTTATGAAATTGAGCAAATACTCAAAGGTATTTTTTATTTACAAAAACATATATTTTTAAAATTGTAAAAAAATGACTCTTAATATCTCGAATTTCACATTCAATTATTAAACAATAGTAAATTGGGAAAATGAATTAATCAAATATAGGGCCTTAATTCCAATGTTTTAAAAGTGCGCAATACATTTAGTCCTTGCTAGCTTTTCAAGCTAAATTTCTAGACTATGTAATACGAACATGAAAGAATGATGCAGTCTTTACGTTAACAATAACAATCTCTTATCATTTCTTAAATATAATAAAGTTATAAAAAACTTGGTTTAGTGAACATATTCGAAGAAGAAAATAAAATTTATATATGGAATATTAATTTAGAACACAACATATTATACTAAATTATAAAATTAAATATTTTATAAGTAAAATTATAAGAATCAAATAAAATTTATGTACAACCACATTGACCAAAGGAATAGTCCAGCAAATACATATTGTTGAATTTATATCTTTCTTTTCTTTTTCACGACCGGAGACCATCAAAATGCCGTATGGCACTAGAATAGCTTCCTAAGGTTCTGTTCATGGCTATCATATAATACTCTAACACCGTTCACACTTATTCAACTTTACTTAAAATTAGTCATTTATAATTTTGAAAAACGTCGTGGCAATATTCTATACATATAACTTTTTTTGTTCATGCCACGTCAATACAATATTTATCCATATATTACTTAAATTTTAGATTATGTTTTTACATATTATTTAATTACCTTTAATTAATAAAAAATAAAGTCGTAAAGAAATAAACTGAGTCTGTTCGATACTTATTATAAATTTCCACCAATCGTATCACGTTTATAAACTACTCTATCACTCGACGACAGCCCATCACACACGCACGCACGCCCGCGCGCGCGCGCACACACACACACACATATAGGCACTATGTGACTAAGAAAGTGGGATTTGCTGAGATTATTATTATCTCGGGTATTGGGCTCTTGGGATTCCCTCTTCAATCCATCACTTCAATCCATCAGTGCGTATATCTAACCAAGGGGAATGCGCTTTCTTTTTCTTCACTTCCTCGAGATTCATCTGTAACATGCTCTTCAGTTGCTTTACCTCTCTCTTCTGTTTTTGCTTGAAAAATGCCTTCGAATCCTGTTCTCTTTGTTTTTTCACCCTACCTCCATTTTTTCTTAACGATCATAATGCGCATTTAGCCCCGACTCATCACGTGAAACTTGATTTTAGCACTAACCCAAGTGTTAGATTTTCTTTCCGATAATCCTACAATCCTCTCTCTCTCTCTCTGTGATTTATATGTATGTATATTCAATCCCTTGAAGCAGCCTCAATTAGCCACCTGCATTTTGTCGGATACTCTTGGTTGCAGGCGATTCTTTTGAGAAGACAAATGTTAGTGAAAATTACATAATTAGTTGCGTCTAAGGATTTTAAGTTTAATGAATGATCCGTATACGTCACCTTTGGATGCCAGAGGTTTTCACCGGTTAGCTTACATAATCCATAACAATAATATTGTTAGTATCACATGACCAACTTATTAATTTATTTTTTACATATCAAGAGCTGAACTGGTGAAATATAATATTTCTCTTGTTTAACATTAAATATATAAAGAAAGTTTAAATTATTAGCGGAGGAAAATGCAAAAATAAGAGTCATGCCATAAGTAGGGAAGATACTTAACAACCCCTCTCTAGTCTCCACTTGAGAGAGAGAGAGATATACAATTCTTATGAAACCAGGATGCTATTTAATTACATTAGAAACCGATTGAGGTAGCACTTTCTATCTTCATTTTTTTAAAAAAATAAATATAGAAGTCAAAAAATATTTTAATATAATAAAAAATTTAAAATTTATAAAAAGCAAAGAACACTAACAAATAGTTAGAAATGCCCAAGTGAATTTAAATTAGGAGTTCCGGTCTCGCTAAAAATAAGTTTTTAATATTTCCGCTTAATTTCGATGTAGAGAGAGAGAGAGAGAGAGAGAGAGAGAGACCTATAAGGAGTTGTCCTCACTGCTTAATGTTCTCCTTCTCTTTCAATTATTAGACAACCCCTGACCCAGTTTTTGTTTCCTAGCTCTTGGAGGAGAATATCCATGTTGTGTTGTACTTTTTACCCTAAGAACATCAACTTTACATCTCATCTCCTTTCTCTTTGTTTTCTCCTTGCTTTAGAATCATCAGATGGACGCGAATAGCTTTAGCACTCCAAAAGGTAGGGTTATGGAGAAGCCAAATCATAACCAAAGCCAAAGCCAAAGCCATAGCCAAAGCCAAAGCCAAAGCCAAGAGGCCCTTAAGTGCCCTCGATGCGATTCATCAAACACCAAGTTCTGCTACTACAACAACTACAGCCTGTCTCAGCCGAGGCACTTCTGCAAGGCCTGCAAGCGGTACTGGACCCAAGGTGGAACCCTGCGGAACGTCCCAATTGGTGGCAGTTGCCGGAAGAACAAGAAACGCAGTTCTAAGGTGTCATCGCCGCCTCCTCCTGCAACGTCAAACCCTAGTGTCCAACCCCAGGTGGTGGACTTATCTTCAACCTCAATTAATCATGTTAATCCTTTTCTCTATGGCCTAAACACCTCTAGCGAGCTTATGAGTGCTACTATTCTTTCACACCCTAGCTTGCGCTCAAGGGCTTCAAATTTGGAAAGTGTTTCTGGGTTCGATCTGCAGCCTCAGTTGGATGTTCTAGGTTTAGGTTTTCATCTGGGTTTGATCCGCACAAGCAAGAGCAAGAGTTGGTCACCTCAAATTCACTTCTTTCAGGTTATTCTTTGTTTGGGGCCTCTGCTTCTGTTTACCCAACAGTGACTTCACTGTTGGCTTCAAGCCTTCAGCAACAGAAATTCATCTCCAACAATTTTAGAGGCACTAAAGAAGCTGATAACAGTTTTCAGAAATTACTAGTACCCTCTGAAGACTTGGCAATGGATATGAAGGAAGTAAAAATGGATCAAGGTCAAAACCTGGACCAGATTGAGCAGATCATACCCTCAGATCCTTCTCTTTGTTGGAATAATGCTGCTGGTGCTTGGCTTGATCCTGCAAATATTGGGTCTTCATTTCAGTCCCTTTTTTCATCTACCAAAAACACACTTGATTAGATTCATCATTTCTTTTACTTGATCTCCCTCTTCTCACTTAATCCTTCAATTTGCGTATCTATTTATATATATACTATAAAATAGTGTGGGTTTGGGCGACAGTTACATCTTCAAATTATGAAAAAAGTCTCTTTACATGCATTCTATCAACTCACACATTATACATATATCTATTTATCATGAATTTAATGGCCAAAATTGGGTAAGAATTGAAGAAAAGCACGAACTTAAAGTGCCTGTGAGGAGAAAATGATTAGATTGGATGGATCAGATCGATCAGGTTAATCGGCTACGAAGAATTCTATCTGCTGCTAGCTATTTTTTTTGGATAAATGAGGTTAAAATGAGCTTATTTGCACTGAGATGAACCTCGGATTCTCCACTTTCTCCCAACCTGGGTTTTATCAACAACCTTACGGAGAATTTCCATTTGACCAGTTAGTGGGTCAAATCTCTCTGTATGTATATACAGCATGACATTCCTGATGGATTTCTACATTATATTTCTTTTGTTTTTTAAAAATCTCGTTACAAGATCTTGGATCTCTTGGTATGATGTGGGAAATACGATGGATATGGTGGATACATAACTGAAAGAAATTTCTCATTTCAAGGTGGGTATATTCGGGTTTCAATTCTGGTTATGCTTTAACTTGTGTATTGATCATAAGAACTTAAGATGTTGGGATGGGTGATTCATTGTGAATCCTTTTACTTGAACTGTGTAGCGACAGGCAGCAACCTCTCGGTTTGAAATTGCATGTTCATGATAAATGCGTTTGTGTAGATATATATTTGTGGGTGACTGAAATTCCTTAAACATCTACATACGTTACATTGCATAGACATCCGGAGAACTGAATCTATCATTCAAGGAGGTTTAGGGTTCAAAATACAGAATTTTATTTATATAAAATAATATTATATGTGTGTCGGATTGTCTTCTACTGTCATGTTTGATATCTTGAAAAGAGAATGAGGGATGATGGAAGTTGCTACCAAGTTCCGACCGCATGCATCAAAATTAGAACCATAAGAAAGGAGATGATCATATAGTGGTTACCAAGATCAGAGGGAAAGAAGGAGATTAACTTGGACAAAGAAAGTGAAATTTAATGTTTTAAGAGAAAATGACAAATGAAATTGATAAAAATACAAATTAATTGTCGATATTTTTTTGCACTCACATACGACCAAAAACTGTTTACAACGTTGCCAAACAAAACCTTGTTATATATTCATCGAAGAGTAAGCTACGGGAAAGCAACTTTTCTATTTTTGACGAGTTAAAAAAAGCTGACAAGTGAAATAATTCATGCGTAGTTATATAAACAGTCTTAAGTGAATTCATTCAGAGTACAAAAACTGGGTGTACTGGCTGACACCAATTTATTGCTGTACTACAATCGACTCAATTCTTGGACACGGCCCGACTTAATTTACGGTCTTGGGGACGGGGAGACGAACCCGGCCGGATTGTAGATATTAATCAATTTTAAAAAAAAATAAACAAATTTCGGGGACTTTAACTTGATTGGCAGATTATTTCCAATATAATATGGTTTAAAAAACTTTATACTTGCAGAAAAGTGACTTGTGATTTTTAAAAAATATTTTTACAAATAAGATGTTAAGGCAATAAAATTTTCAAAAATTTTGGTAATTAAAATTCCAGAGGAGCACTCTATTACTCTGTAAAAGATATTCTGCATAAAATTCCTACTAAGAGCATTACTGGAATTGCAAGCATGCAAGTATGGACAATTGGCACTTAAGAACTTGAGAAATGACGGTTTTGCTTTTAAACTTTTATTGTGATAATTTTGTTTTATTTTATAATAATTAAGATTTAATATTTTAATGCGTAATAAGTGGCAAGTTTATAAGTTAACTTATAATTAAGGTTGAGTATCAAACAAGTTGTCGACTTTTAAACTTATTTTAGCATTTGAACTTTTAAGTTAAAGTTAAGAACTTAAAAGTCCAAAGCTGCAAACGAACCTAAGGCTTTATAAACCTTGGGTCTTTTTTTTAAAAAATAATTCTCATGATGAAATTATTATTATTATTATTATTATTAAGGCTATAGTTTTTGTTGAGACTTATTAATGTTTAGTGTGATGGCATGGAATCATTTTTTAGATGTGTTCATGGTTTGGTATGGTTTGATTTAATTTGATATACAAATTCAAACTAAATTATATTTGAAGGACTAGTGTTTTTTAAAAATTAAATCAAATCAAATTAAACCATTGTTCATAATTTTTTTTGATCTTAAATCACTGTTTGTGTTTTACAAAAAATATAATATATTAAATTCAATAGTTTTAATATTTTCAATAGAATTTTTCCTAAAAATTAGATATCTTAAATGTTTTTCAACTTGTTTAATTCAATAAATTCATTATCATTGACTAATTATAGAACTTACATATTATATAACAAATATTTTTATGTAGTTTAACATTGTTTAAATTATATTGATACAAATCACTCTCTAAGAAAAAACTCAATTATCAAAATAAGTATAAATATAAAAGAAAATAGAAAGAAAAAATATATAGTCAAACATTAAATATAGAATACATATATAAGGATAAAATTACATGATCTTATTTAATTCATACAATTTATTTAGAGATAAAATATTAAATCAAATTGTATAAAAAAATATTTTTATAAACCAAATCAAACTAAATTATGATTTAATCGATTTAAATAATTTAATTTGATTTGATCAACACATAATACTTTTTTTAAGGTACCTTTTTGTTGATTATTTTGTTAATGTTAAGGTTTTTGTGGAGGCAAGTTTAAGTGGGAGGTTTAAGGAAAAAACCCATATTTTTAATTATATAGATTTGTAAAATTTTAACTGTCAAATATTTTTTAAAACTCAAAAGAGGCATTAGTGGTGGCAATCATTAATCACCATCCCCCCTTCCTTTCTCTAGATGGGTACCCATCTTCTGCCAACCATACCATAGTTTGGTTGATATCGAAATCTGCTTTTAAAAGGTGACAGCAACCACATATGGAACTCATCAAAAACTAAAAACATTAAAATATATTAAAACCTTAACCAGTACGTTATGTTCAATTCCACTCTACAAAATCTCCCTCCCTCTCTCTCTCTCTCTCTATATATATATATATATATGTATATATAGTTGACTCGAAGTTTTATTTTGCAGTGGCAATATCAAAACAACTCTTCTTCCGCCATTAACCAAAGATTCATGGCCATTAAAGAAACTCGATTTACTGTGCAAACTTCGACGTGACAAGCTTTCTGGGGGTCCAACTGCTTCTTTGAGCACCATTAATTTGTTGCCACTATCCCAACGATATTTGTTGAGTAAATCTATGAAGATCAGCAGAATAACCTAAATTATTCCTATAATGCCGTCTGTCATTCTTGTCTTAAATTAATCTCTTTGTTTTTTGCTGTCTTGGGTTAACTCAAAATTCCAAGTTGGTGGCCTCGTATCAGCGAGATGACCCCACCGAAAAAGTATTAGGTAAAACATTCCTTCTCTCCTGATGTGACATTTTACAGTAGCAAATGGACAGATTTAGATGGGTTGCAATGAATTTAAATGGGCTATACACTTAAAAAAGTTAAATTTGATTTGACGGGTTCTAAATGGATACAGATTAATTTTAATAATCTGTTAAACTCATAAAACACATTAATGAGATGTTTGATAGTATAAATTTTTATATTTTTTAAGTTTATTGACCGCTAATCTGTTTGATATGAGTTTAGAAACTATCAAGATAGATTTAAAAATTCTAAAGCTCAATTTAGAGAGAGAAAGTTTAAAAAAATTAGAAAGAGAAACTCTTAAATTGAGAAAATTGGAAAAAAAATTTATGGAAACAAATTTTAGAGAAAGAGAAAATTTTGAAAAAAAAAATTAGAGAGATAAAATTTTAAAAAAATATAAAAAGAAAATTTTTAGTGAGAGAAAGTTAAAGAAAACTAAAAGAAGAAATTTTAAAGAGAAAATTGAAAAAAATTTTATAGAGTGAAAATTTTATAGACAGAAAGTTTAAAAAAAATTAGAAAAAATAAGTTGAATACAATGACAAAGTTTCAAAAATAGAATTAGAAAAATTTAGAGATAGAAAATCCTGGGGAGAGATTTTAGAAAGAGAAAATTGAAAATTACAATTTTGAAATTGTGAAAATTGTAGGAATTGAAGAGACTCACAAAAGAGGAAATCAAATGAGATGCTTCTTTTATACGGTAATATAGATAATATTTTTTGGGTCCCATGATTGGTATTTTTTTTTATTGTGGCTTAATATAGGTTACTTCATTAACTAATATAAACTGGGATAATTCTCTCCAATATAATATGTAAATAAATTTTAAACGTCACCCTCCTTCAAATCAGAGGCCATGATAATAATTTTTTTTTTCAAAAAAATCACAAAAAGGCCATAACATAATTCTCATCACGAAAGATTTTTCTTTTTAATAAAATATTTAGGTAAGGAGAAGCTCCTTCAATTCAAGGTTAAGGCAAATCACAAATCTTAGTAAGGATTTATAATAAATTTACAGATCGTCAACAAGATAGATAGTTGATAGGTTTCGAACTCCCAATTTAATAAAAACACTATATAAATCATAATTTAACCAACTGAACCAACCCAATAATCTCGCGACGAAGGATTTAAGACCTCCTATCTTTATTACATAATGCTACTCCTTGGGCTCAGTACTTGCTGATGATGGGCCCTTCAAAGCATTGCCCACGTTAGTGCGGGCCCACAAGTTTCCGGCCCATTATATTCATGGAACATTAGATATTGTTATGCCATCCAACTGGAGTTCATCTAACATAGAAAAGTAATTTGTGTTGATATTCTTTTATATATATAAGAGATTTAAATTAAATAAGGAAAGTGGAATAAGAGTTATTTTTATTTTGAAATAAATTTTATAAGCATTTTATTATTTATATTAAAATTTAAATTTATAATTGCC